GGCCCGGCCTGTTGCATGCGAAGCAGCGCCCCTTAAACGGGGCGGCAGCTGCGTTCGTCACAACGGCGTGTACAGTGGCGTGCTCGGACGGCCCCCGAGGGCGATGTCCGTAGTAGGACCCCGGTCTCGGACGGCGCAATTGTCTATTTTCTCCGCTAACGCCAGGATTTCATTGAAGTTTGAGATCCCACGAAGAAGGATTTCTTGCGAGATTTCCGGCTTCAAGCCGCCGACGTAGCGATCCACTCGCTCCGCTTCGTGCATGTAGCCGACCTGCTCACACATCGCAACAAAACCGCTGGTGTAATCTTGGACCGACCCAAGCTATCGCCAAGTGCGTAGCTTCTCGCGTGCTGAAATCAAAGCCGCGATCGGCTCGAAGCGCGTCACTAGCCCTGCGCACCAATCGTCCCACGTGATGTATTGGGCTGTTTCACTGAATGAACTCCGGGTTACGGCTGGGCCCGCGGGGCTTTCCTCTTGCGACAATGGCTCGTAGGCGCTCGGCGACGTCACTATGACTCGCCACCGGTCCATGGCGGGGCCCCGCAGCAGCGACACGACGTACCAGATCTTCGCTGCATCCGACGTGACGTAATTTGCGTAAAAAAACGCGTTCATCGTGGAAACCCACGATTGAACCGTCGGACCTCCACGCTGGCTAGGATCGAAGCAGGGCGGGCGCTGCGGCTTGAGTGGCATCGGCTCACCAATGTCATTGTTGCTGGTGGGTGCAACAATGATGACGTGACAACGAGACTCGCGAGATGTGATTACGCCCGGTACGGTCCTGCTTCTCTCCATGCCCAACATCGATTGGGCGGCGCCATCACTAATTGCGCTTGAACGCTGTCCCACGCTGTCGTGATGTGACGGTGTTCCTGATGAGATGATGATTGGCTCGTCTGATTGCACATGTGCATTTGTTGATGCTGGTGCTAGTGCATTCGCCGTAGATTGTTGTCGCGCTGAATCGCGTTCTGCCGTGAGAGTCGAGATTTCGAGCGTTGACTCCTCGAGCTGGCACATTAATTCATCGAGGCGGTCTTGCGTCAACTTTGCGAGCTGAATGCGGCCAGATTCGTCCATGGCGGGGGTGTCGGGCTAGCTTCAGCGAGAGCCTCAGCCGTGGCTAAGTGTGCTTACGAGAGAGCACACGAGCAGCGGTGCTTGGTCGCTGAGAGACGTCTACACCCCCTCCCCCCCCCCCAAAATTGAGATACTGTTGGAAGTGAAGGTGTGGGCGCGGTCCGAGAAAGGATTGTAGCTCTGATCACCAAGTGTTACGTATGCAGTTGCGTGAACGAACAAAGATTGTGTTAATTACATTGCATATTTTATAATTGCCTACAGCTTGTTAGTGTACTAGTTTAGTTATTAGAACTAACTGCTGGTGGTGTACCCCCTCTTCTCCTCTTCCCTATATCTTGTATGCCTTCTATATTGAAACACTTTTTTGGCCATCTCCTTTCGCTTGCAGTTTCCTAGCTCCTAAGTCCAAAACCCTAGCCATGGTTCCTCTAGCCTACTCTTGACATGGTATTAGAGCCATACGTTCCTACGGACCTTTCGATAATGGGCCCACCTACTTCCGTCATGCCTACGTCCTGCGTTCTGCCCGTGGCGAACGCGCCATCGACCATGGCGAACGCACTAGCAGCCCGTCACGCGCCCTGTCACACAGCAGCAGCGCGCACAGCAGCAGCTGCACGCACAGCCGTGCGGAGCAGCAACGCGCACGCCTGCGCGCGTAGCAGTCGCCCGCGCGCGCAGCAGCAGTACGCACAGCAATGCGCACAGCAGCAGCCGCGAACGCACGCGCAGCTGCACGCGCAGCAGCTGCCCGCGCGCGCAGCCTTTGCTGCACCCGCGCGCCGCTACGCCCCGTCTCTCTCCCTGCCGCGCCTGCTGGCGTGGGGGGGAGGGTGAGGGGGTGGCGGGGGTGACCAGGAACAGCCTTCTATCCTCCTTGCCTCTCCTCTCCTCCAACCGCCTCTCCTCTCCTCTCCTCTCCTCCAGCCGCCTCTCCTCTCCTCCAGCCGCATCTCCTCTGCTCTCCTCCTGTGCACCACCAACTTCCTCCTCCTCACCAACAGTTGTGTTTGCTCGCAGACGGCGAGAGACCAGCAGCCTTCGCCCTCCGTTTTAGCGCTCCTGCTCCTGCTCCTGCTCCGTTCTATCGTTTACATATGCTGCCGGTCAGCCACAGCTGTTTCTGTGCATATCCCAGCTACAAGCAACCGCTCTCCAGGCGACCTAGTGCCAGACACCACTAACTATAGCCGTAGGCAGTTACGGGGGTGTGTTAATTACATTGCATATCTTATAACTGCCTACACCTTGTTAGTGTATTAGTTTAGTTATTATAACCAACTGCTGGTGGTGTACCCCCTCTTCTGTCAGTAGAGCTGCACTGTGAGATCCCTGATCGATCCTAGGGGGGGTTACAGACGCGTTTGCCTGGGGGGTTATGGGCGCACTGACCCGCTACTTAACAAGCCCTTTTATCCCAATGTCTAGTGGTTGGGATTCTGACATGGTATCAGAGCGGTCTCGGGTTCGAATCCCGGTACATGCACATGTAGGCCGTTGCCGCTGTGCTCAGTCCTGGGCTTCCCAGTGTGGGGGGGTGTCAGTAGAGCTGCACTGTGAGATCCCCGATCGATCCTAGGGGGGGTTACATGCGCGTTCGTTTGGGGGGTTATGGGCGCACTGACCTGCTACTTAACAAGCCATTTTATCCCAATTGTCTAGTGGTTGGGATTCTGACATCTTCTCCCCTTCCCTATATCTTGTATGCCTTCTATATTGAAACACTCTTTTGGCCATCTCCTTTCGCTTGCATTTTCCTAGCTCCTAAGTCCAAAACCCTAGCCATGGTTCCTTTAGCCTACTCTTGACAGATTGCACTATCGAAGCAAAAGTACAATGAGCGAACAGTATATAGCGAAGCCTAGAGTGGTAACGGTAACGCGCGAGGTGTGGGGTGCGCGACGGGCCTGGCGCCGAGGTTGGGATTTGTCGAAGCGGAGGACCGGAGCGCGGGTTACCAACCGAACCGTGTGGTTGGGTCGCGACGTGTACAGTGGCGGGAACAGTGGTCGAGGCGAGTGTCGCGAGCGGGTAACGTTGTACTGTAGGGTGCTACTGGCGGGAACAGTCATGTACGCGGTAAGCAGGGGCGCGAAGTAAGGAGAAAGAATTCTCCTTACAACAAGCTAACAATCCTCATTATACCTTTTAGGAACGTCCTCATCCTTCAGAAATGAACTACAGTAAACACAGCTGACTCCCCTATTGCAAAATCAGGTTCCAAGGAGGCATTGGGTACACGAACGGCGATCACCACCTGAAGCGCCAACTAAATTTCAGCAATTTGAGAGACCGAAACAGATTGAAGGCTTTGGTTAGGCGCGGCTTGGGGGCTGATAGTAGCCGTTGTAAGGACCAACCGAACCGACCAACAAACCAGTTGCAAACCAGATGAAGTATCAAAACCACTCACTTCCCGCCACGTTCAACCAAGCTTTATGTGAGGTAAGGTTTTGTTATGGGCAGCTCAAAGCTGACCACCTTTGCGATCTCGTGCTGATTGGCTGTAAGAAGGCTTCTTCTGAACCGTTGAAATGGGCACTTGAAACTCACTTCGCTTATCCCGTCGTTTATTGATGGCGTTTTCGCAACAGCCATTTGCTTCCGCCTCTTCGTCGCGCTTCAGGGGCGCATGTAGGTTCGGTTCTTCTGTTGATACTGTGTAACAATCTGGAACCGACGAACCACACGAGCACCTGAAGCGGGCAGCAAATTTCTGATTTCGCAGGACTTCAAATCAAAGCACTTTCTTTCGAGAAACTGTAGTAACGGAAGATTTCGGCAGTCTAGCAGCACGGCGCGCAAAAAGGAGGAGCTCCTTTGGGCCCCCCTGAATTTCGGCACAAGCAGCAGCGCGATGTGTTGGGGAGAAATTACATATTGCTTGTTGGGGCGCCGCAGCACCCCCATTTTCTCACCAGCCCTGAACACATTGTTTTTACGTTTCTTCAACTGATCGTGGCTAAGCTCGACACAGGACAGCGTAATTCAAGTCTCGACGGTTCTCCGGCATGACACTGGTTACCACCAAATCGCCTGTTGGGAGCAGCACCTCTGCGTTCTCGCGAACGTCAACGGCATGGGATAACCGATTGAAGACTTTCGTTTACATCCTCGCAGCGGCCGGCATCGCTTTGGCGCTCTGGTTCGCCACTTTTGAAGCCGCCACGCTCCTTTTGCATCCCAAATTTTACGCCTCGCGATATTTCGGTGTTCACATACTTCGTTTCACGCGGGATGCGCGGCGGACTTTTGCGGGAAGAAGGGTAGAAACAGCGGGTACAGACTGGCGGCCAATTCCAGACCGACACGTGGCGGAAAAGGCAGTAACCATGTCCGTGCTGTCGCTGCCGCATAATCCGCTCACGAACCGCAAGAGAACCGCCAAGCTAGCTCTGCTGTTTCTAACGGATCAGGGCCTCCTGCCCCTAAAACGCGTATGGGATCGGTTCCTCCAGGCGGAGCTCAAGGGTTCCGTGGAGCGCGAGGGCGACAACAGCAAATTCTCCGTCTACGTGCACTCGGGCGGCACCGAAATGCGCTATAACGCGGACGAAGGCCGGTTCCTTAAACGAAACGACATCCCCAGCCTTCCGGTGAGTTGGCGCGGTAGGAGCATGGCAAGGTGGCGATCGGGAGGCGAACGCGCAAGCGAGGATGATGGATGGGGGTTCGGAGTGGCTGGGTTCCCTGACGACACAGCAACATGTGGAGCGTAGTGGATTCCGGCCGAGTGCGCGCGGATGCGGGGCGGATCGGCTTCCGCACGTCTTTTCCTCCCAACGCGTCCCATCTCCCCGCACGTTCCTTCCTCCCCGTGCGTCCCTTCCTCCCCGCGCGCCCCTTCACCTCCGCGCTTTTCGTCTCATCGTCGTCTCCTTTCTCCCGTTTCCCCCCCATTCCCTCAGGCGCAAGAAGGCGCCATAACGACAGTGGATGCGCAGAGGCGGCTGCTGGCGTGGGCGCTGCTCGACCGCGACAACCACTTGTTCCTCTTTCTCCACCACACGTGCGCCTTACTGCCCTTCCCTTCCCCTTCCACCCACCTCATCACTCACACCACCTCCTCCTCAGCGGCATCACCCGCCTCCCGTTCCGCGCTCTCTCGCTCGTTTCCGCCTCGCTCTCGTCCTCGTCCCTGCGTTCACCTATCATGCCGTCGTGCCTGCCCACCGTGCCTATTCGCAACTCGCGCTGCCTTTCCCGCAATCACACGGCCAGCGGACGCCACGATCGCACGCCACGGCGCGCCATCCGCCGTCGTTCCCGTCTCACGCGCCGTGCTCTCACGCGCTCAACTTTTCTCACCTCTCTCCTTCCTCTCCCCTCCCCTCAATCCCTCGTCTCCCCGGCCGTCCCTTTCCGCAGCGCCATCCCCATTCAGAGCTTCAGCCACATCTACTCGTCGCTGCTGCACTCGCGCCACTCCTTCGTCGCCATGTGAGTCGCCGCACCCTCTTCACTCTCCTAATCACCGCGTCGCACACTTCACTCTGCTAGTCGCCGCGTCGAACGCTTCGCGCTTTCCTAATCGCACAAGACTTTTCTAGCTCTTGTGATCGCCGCATGAGGCTCGCATTTCTCCCCGTCTTTGCGTCATTTCCGCAACCTCGCAGATGAACGAGTGACGCACCTCATCGGCGCGCGCCTTACCCACACTTCCGTCGCTCCTTTTTCCTCGTTCAAGCGAATGTAGCACATTCTAGCACAGATCTCACCCTTCACGATCTTCCTACACCCGCCTATCCTCCGCACGCACCCCGCACCTCCCTCTTGCCAGGGCGGATGATCCGACGGCCTATCCGCGCGGGCTGGCTCCGCTGGTTCCGCAGCACAAGTTCGCGCGGAGCTCCAAGGTACTGCGCGACGGGTGGTGGGGAGTTAGTGCTTCACACCGTCAGCTGCTTGCTTCTCTCCTCGCCCTTTCCTCTTCTCAGTCTCTTGCTTTCCTGCTGAATGTACCATCCTCACTCCGCCACCCATCGTGCCACTTGCTGCCCCCACATCACGCCGCTGTCACCCTCCCCCCCTTGTGCGTGGCAGTGGGTGGCGGTGAACCGGCCGCATGCAACGGCCATCGTGGCGGACAGCATGTTCTACCGCGCCTTCAAGCTGCACTGCCCCGTACGCTCCCTCCCCCCACTCACCCTCTCCCTCTCCCTCTCCCTCTCCCTCTCCCTCTCCCTCTTCCTCTCCCTCTCCCTCTCCCTCTCCCTCTCCCTCTCCCTCTCCCTCTCCTTCTAACTCTCCCTCGTCTCTCGCCCCTCTTGCCTCTCCCCTCCCCCTTCTCCCCACTCCTCTCTCCTTACCTTCCTGCTTCCCTTTCACCCTCCTCAACCCCCTCTCTCCGTTCCCATCGCCTCCTCTCATCATCGTCACTCAAAATCGTTCTTGTCTTCCCCCACCTCCGTCACCTCCTGCCCTCCTCATGCCTCCTGTATGTATCTCCTCACGCCAACCACCCTGCTTCTCACCCTCTCTATCCCTCTCCTCTCGCCCACCTCTCCTCTCCGCCCATCCCTCCGGCCACCGTGCAACGTCACCAGGGCACAGCAGCAGCATCGAACACCACCAAGAGTGGGGCGCCCTCTGCTTCCTCACCTGCAGCACACTCACCAGCATGCCGACCGGACGAGCATTACATCGCCACTTTCCTCAGGGTAGGCTCACCCTCCCCCTTCCTTCCCCTTCTCCCTCCCTTCGCTCCCCCACCTCCCGTCTTCGCTTTTGTTCTCCACTCTCTTCCCTCCAGTTTTCCCCCTCCGCTCGCGTCCCCCCTCCTTCATTTTACCCCTCCTTCATTTTACCCCTCCTTTTGCATACACACCCTTGCCTCCTACAGCCAAAATGCCTCCTACAGCCAAAATGCCTTCACTTAACCAGAGTCCAGTTGCGGTGAGGGGGACTGCTTGCTTATCCATCCGCCCTTCCCCGTCCTCCCCCTCCCGGTACCCCTCGGCCATGTGATCACACCAGACAGTAGACCCCGATGGAGTCGCCAACTTCACCATCACCCACGAGCCGCACATGACCGCTGCTGCTGCTGTGCACGCTCGCAAGCGGGCAGAGGCACTGCAGCGCATGCGCAAGCGGCGGCAGCAGCAGCAGCGAGAGGAGGGCGACATGAGGCGCGCAGGAGTAGCAGAAGGGCAGGGAGGGGATGATGGGGTGTGGCAGGGGCGGAGGGAGGTGCTTGAGCGGGTGGGGGAGTGGGAGGAGGTGGAGTACGGTGCTATGAACATCGCTTCGAGGTTCATCCAGGACATGCAGGAGGCAACGACATATTTCCACAAAATTGCAGACTCTGTTAGTGTAAGTTCACTCAGCCTTGCCCTTTCCACCTGCGTTGTGCGGAGACCACTGTTCTGTATTTTTCCTCTTCAGAAACATCTTGGCTGGCATGCAGCGTTTAATTGTGAGAGAATTATGTAAGTTTATCACTCCATGCCTTCGTGTTAACTATCATGCTCAGTTGATGTCAATTCCCACTGTTTTGAATAAACTCCAGCAGAGCCCCACAACCTGTCGGTGGAATGGCCATCCCAAGCCGTGCTTCATGTTTGCTCAGCCATTTCGACCAGACTCTGCAGATGAGATCATGAGCATTCTACCAAATGTTCTCCATTATTGAAACGATATCCATGCAGTGGTGCCCTCTAAGGGATTATTGAAGCAGATTTGCAAATATGACATTCCCCTCTCGATTGTCATGCAAGTATGACATTCCTTTAATTGTAAGCTCGTCTTGTATACTGTGGTCCTACCGTATGTGTGAAGCTTGAGATGTTACCTTTATGAATGTTATGGGCATTGCGAAGATACTGCATTTTGCTTGAAAACGGAAGCATGCCTTTATGCATGCAAACCTTGAAGAAAGGTGTCAAACCATATATATGCACATAATAGTGTTAAGTTTGTTAGGCTGTAGTGAGGTGCATGATATAGGTTTCTCTCGACATTTGTACTTGTATTCCCCGCTAATCTATGCCATCGTTCTCTCGCTATCCCTACTAAGGTAATTAGATTCTAAGATGGTATCAGCAATAGGTTCGTTCCTAGCCTACGAAAACGTGCCTCTCCCGCCCCGTAACGCGCCTCGCCCCTTTCGTAATGCGCCCCGTCCGTAACGCGCCTCGTAATGCCTCGTACCGCCCTGTCGCGCCTCGTAACGCCCAGTAGCACGAGTCGCCCCAGCCAAACGCACGCGCGCGCGCATAGGCCGCCACGCGCTGCCCCCCTTGTTTTCCGTCCCGTCCCGTGCCTTGCTCTGCCGCGCGCACGTCACTGCAGCACGTATAGCCGCGCGCGCAGGCAGGCAGCACGCACAGCAGCTGCGAGCAGGCAGCACGAACAGCAGCGGCGGCCGCGAGCGTGCGCCAGCGCATGCACACGAGGAGCAGTCGCCGCCACGCCCGCAGCAGCCGCCGCCGCGAGCGCAGCAACTGTAGCCGCCTTGAACGCCACGGACACCACCACGCGCCACTGCAGCCCTTACCCGCGCCCTGCCCCGTCACGGCCTATGCCCTGCCCTGCCGCCCGTGTGCGCAGCCCCACGCACGCCGCCGCGCACGAGCAGGTGCGCGCAGCAGCAACTGGACGCGCACCAGCAGCTTACTACGCACTAGGAGCCGCGATTAGCAGCAGCAACTACTCGTGCCTTCGCCACGCACTGCTGCCCGTGCTCCGTGACAGCACACCCGTTCCTCACGCCACTAGACAGTTCCTAACCGCTACTGACCGCTCTCCGTTCCGCTAGACCGCACTCAACCGCACTCAACCGCACTCAACTGCACTCAACCGCACTCAACCGCACTCAACCGCACTTGACCGCACTCAACCGCACTCTACCGCACCAGGCAGCTGCAGTTGCACACGTACCTGCTGTCTCTCCTACACGCCTCCTACCATAGGCATTTCTAATGGCGGCTGGCAGCCGCAGTCACCTCTCCTGGCGAGTCTTACGCATCTAACCTAGTTGTTCCTCGTGTTCATAGGCTTCGCATTCCTCTCGCCACCCTCTCAACCGGTTTCTAGACTAGACCCTCACGCCACATTTCGTGTCCGACTATTTCTAGCTCCTGCCGCTCTCACGCTCCTCTAGCTTGTGCCATGGCGTCCGTTAGGGTTCTGCAGCAGCAGGGCGAGCCGCACCGGCAACAGCAGCAGCACTCCCGGCGGTGGGGACCTGATTGTCCCAGCTACAGTACAGCCAGCTGGGCTCCTCGCCGCAGTGGTCGCGACGTCGGCCCCTGCCAGTACCGGCTCCTGACTGGCCCTGGTGCTGGCACTACCTGCTTGCGCCCTGACCACTCCTCGTTCCGCTGCTACCGCCACCTCGACGACCTCTACCGTGAGAGATTTGGGCCTGACTCGCCTCTTCCGCACTGGCCTACTCTGACTCGGCGTGGCTACGATATTTATTATATGTCTATGTATGACGCTTATAATGCCATGTATGCTGATAACTTTAGTCCTGTCGGGCCTGTTGATTTGCATTTGCCTAGTTTAGTGTCAAACATTGTATGTTTACATTGTGTAGGCCCAAGTGGGTTTAGCCTTAGGGGGTACAACAAACTTAGGGTTTCCTACTTGTACCCAACTTTCTGCTAGTTTCACCATTCTCGTTCTCTCCAACATTCTAACATGGTATCGCGAGCCTAGGTCGTAACCTAGGACCGATAGGGCCCACCGTTCCGCTAGAAGCGCCCTCGAGCGCCGTGTCTCCTTAGCGCCCTCGAGCGCCTCTCTCCTAGTGCGCCCTCGTGCGCCTCTCGTCCTCCTGCTGCCCGTGCGTAGCTCGCTAGTGCCGCGCGCGGCCCGTTTTTTTCTTGGCGCGTGTAGCCCGCTAGCAGCCCGTGCGCGACTGTTTTTGAGCGCGCGCCGACCCCTAGCCGCCCGCGCGACCGTCGCCGCCCACGAGCAGCCCCCTAGCCGCCCGTCGACCGCCGCCCAGAGGGTCGCAGCCTGCCCTTAGGCCGCCGCGACACCCCACTAGGCCGCCGCCAGCGCGCTAGTCCGGCCCACGCACGGCCACGGCCCGCCCGCTACAGCCGCCCACGCGCACGCCCCCCGTCGCGCTCCGCCACGTAGCCCAGGCCGAGCCGCCCGAATCGAGCCGAGCCGCCCGACCCGAGCCGCGCCGCCCGAACCGAGCCGCGCCGCCCGAACCGAACCGCGCCGTCCTACTGTACCCCACCAGCTACTACTACTGCTCCTACTGCTACAGTTGCTCCTCTTACTCCTGCTACTGCTACTGCTGCTACTTCAACTATGGCTAGCCTCTCTGTACTAGCTTTCGATGCTGAGGGCCGCCCACTGAAGTTTGAGACCTGGCTCGATGACCTGCACCTATTCCTCCAGCTCACTGCCAAGGAGGATATCTCACTGTACGATCACGCGCTAGGCAATGCTGCTGCCCCTGCTACTACTGCTGACAGTACTGCCCGTTCACAGTGGCAGACTCGTGACGCCCACGCTCGCTTTGCTATTCGCAACTCCCTGCCGGTAGATGAGCGCGAACACTTTGGCCAGCACAAAACTGTGCAGGCACTGTACACTGCTGTAGTTGCACGCTACTCCTCACCTGCCTCTGCTGCGCTAGGCCGTCTCTCGCTCCCCTACCTGTTCCCAGACCTGTCCGCTTTCGCCACAGTCGCTGACCTCACCACGCACCTCCGCACTAGTGAGGCTCGCTTCCGTGCCGCTATGCCCGCTGAGTTTCTTGCCACCCACCCCCCCCCGCTCTGGCTCACTCTCTACCACCTTGTCACCCGTCTCCCTGACTCTCTTCGTGCGGTCAGGGACCACTTCCTCGCTCGCTCCCCCACTGAGCTCACCATAGACCTGCTCGAGAAGGAACTGCTTGCAGCTGAGACTAGCATAGTCGCTGTAGGTGCCTCTCGTGGCGACCCCCGCACCCCTTTCTTCAAGGGGTGTTCCCCTTCCCCCCTTCTCCCCTCTGTCGCCTCTGCTGCTGCTGTCGACCTAGTTGGTACTGAGCAGGTCGGGACTGCGTCCGCTCCGAGCTCGCGCCGCAGCGGCAAGGGCAAAGGGGGCAAGGGAGGTGGAGGTGACGGCGGGGGAGGTGGTGGTGGGGGCGGTGGCGGTGGTGGGGGTGGTGGCGGGACTGGAGGGGCTAGTGGCAGCGGTGGGGGTGGAGACGGCAGCAGCAGAGGAGGTGGCCGGGGTGGGGGCGGTGGTTGGGGAGGCGGTGGACGCGGAGGCGGCAGAGGCGGTGGTGGTCGAGGTGGTGGCGGCGGCGGTGGTGGTCGTGGAGGCGCTGGCGGTGGCCAGAGCCAGCAGCACACTCCGTCGCCCCAGGAGCTTCGTGAGTGGTACTCTCAGCACGGGGGGGGGGGTGGCCTTAGCTGTACGTACGTCATCCGCACTGGTGACCGCACTGGCCGGACGTGTGGGAGGGCGCACACCACGCAGCGCTGCTTCTCCCGCCTTGACGACGCTTGGCGCACTCAGTTCCCTGCTGCCACTGAGCTGCCCCGCTGGGCTGACCTGATGAAGAAGAACATTGATATCTATGCTCTTGACTTTGATGCTATTCTCACTGCCATGTATGTGTTGTCTACTAGTGGAGAGGGTGATCAGTACCTGCGTGTTCCGCCCGACCCGGGCATTCGGACCAGTGAGGCTGCCGCTCTAGGTGCTTGCGTATCTGCTGCCCCAGGTGCTGGTGAGGCTGCTGCTCTAGGTGCTTGCGTGTCTGCTGCCCCAGGTGCTGGTGAGGCTGCTGCTCTAGGTGCTTGCGTGTCTGCTGCCCCAGGCGCTGGTGAGGCTGCTGCTCTAGGTGCTTGCGTGTCTGCTGCCCCAGGTGCTGGTGAGGCTGCTGCTCTAGGTGCTAGTGAGTCTGCGCCCCCTGGTACTGACTCCACTGAGGCACTGCACACCTTCACTCTAGACTCAGGAGCTTCTCGCTGTTTCTTTCGTGACCGCACTGCCCTTGAGCAGCTTGCCCGGCCAGTTGCTGTCTCCCTTGCTGACCCCTCCGGGGGTCCGGTCATTGCGACCTCCTCCACTGTCCTTCCTTGTCCTGCGGTTCCGTCGGGCACACTGTCCGGTCTCCACCTCCCCTCGTTCTCTACGAACTTGGTGGCGGGTTGTGCGCTCCAGGATGGGTGTGTCCACCAGTTCACCCCTGCCTACGAGCGCGTGACACACTGCACGTGTGCTCGGACGGGCCGTCACGTGGCTACCTTCACTAGGCAGCCGGGGTCGGACCTGTACACACTGACCACTGAGTCCCCTCAGGTAGCTGCGTCTGCGTCTGCGTCAGGTCAGCTGTCTGCCCCCTGCTCGTGTCGCTCTCTCGCGCACGAGACTGTCCTCTGGCACCACCGCCTTGGTCACCTGTCAGTGCAGCGCCTTCGTGCCATGCACAAACGGTACCTTGTCTCTGATCTTCCCCGGGTACTCCCTCCCCTCCCACCCTCGCCTGCTCCTCCCGGTCTTCCTTGTGTCGAGGGGCGACAGCGCGCCGCTCCTCACTCCTCCTCGTTTCCCCCGACGACTGCTCCCTTGCAGACGCTCCACATGGACGTGTGGGGCCCAGCCCGCGTCCGTGGACAGGGTCAGGAGAGGTACTTTCTGATCGTTGTTGACGACTACTCGCGCTACACCACGGTCTTCCCCTTGCGCACCAAGGGTGAGGTCCCTGATGTTTTGATCCCTTGGATCCGCGCTTCTCGTCTCCAGCTCAGCGAGCGGTTCCACTCGGACTTTCCTGTCCTGCGTCTGCACTCAGACAGAGGTGGTGAGTTCTCCTCCGACCTCTTGGCAGCCTACTGTGCGGAGCACGGTATCCGCCAGTCGTTCACGCTTCCGGCCTCTCCACAGCAGAATGGGGTTGCTGAGCGCCGCATTGGCTTGGTCATGGAGGTCGCTCGTACCTCCTTGATCCATGCGGCTGCCCCCCACTTTCTGTGGCCGTTTGCGGTCCGGTACGCTGCGCATCAGCTCAACCTCTGGCCCCGTGTCTCCTTGCCGGAGACCTCGCCCACACTGCTGTGGACGGGGGAGGTTGGCGATGCGTCGCGTTTCCGGGTCTGGGGATCTCGAGCCTTTGTCCGCGATACGTCCGTGGACAAGCTCTCCTCTCGCGCTGTTCCCTGTGTCTTCCTTGGCTTTGTCCCGGACGCGTCTGGTTGGCAGTTTTACCACGCCACCTCGCGCCGTGTCCTGCCCTCTTAGGACGTCACTTTTGACGAGTCGGTGCCCTACTACCGCCTCTTCCCCTACTGCACTGCCCCGCTCCCCCCCCCGCCTCTCTTCCTCGCGCCAGGTGCTGCTGTGGTAGACCCCCTCCCCCCTCAGGGTGCCGCTCCCTCAGGTGTGTCCCAGGTAGACCCGGTTGAGCCTGTCGAGGTAGCTGTCGACTCTCGTCCTGCTAGGGGTGCTGAGCCTGAGCGTGCGGAGCCTGGGGGTGCGGAGCCTGGGGTTGCGGAGTCTGGGGGTGCGGAGCCTGCGGGTGCTGAGTCTGGGGGTGCGGAGCCTGCGGGTGCTGAGTCTGGGGGTGCTGAGTCTGGGGGTGCTGAGTCTGGGGGTGCTGAGCCTGAGGGTGCTGCGACTGAGAGTGCTACACCTGGAGGCGCTCTTTCCTCACAGCAGCTGCGTGAGTGGTACCTACAGTACTGCAGCCTCAGGAGAGGTGCTGCTGGAGCTCGTGCTCGTGCTTCCCCTCCTAGGCGGGAGCTGCCCTCTCCCCAGCGGCTTCGAGAGTGGTACGCTCGTCGCTGCAGTCTCCGG